TCTATCTGCCTGTCTGTCTATCTGCCTGTCTCTCTGTATATCTGCCTGCCTGTCTGTCTATCTGCTTGTCTCTCTGTATATCTGCCTATCCATCCGTCTGTCTGTCTATCTGCCTGTCTATCTGCCTGTCTTTCTGTCTATCTGCCTTTTTGTCTATCTATCTGCCTGTCTATCTGTCCATCTGTCTATCTGTCCATCTGTCTATCTGCCTGCCTGTCTGTCTATCTGAAGAGATGATGTTTGGCTCTTCTGAACATGCTCAGTGGAGGCGGAGCTTCCTGTTGATTTCAGCAGAGTGGGGATTAATACTGCATCTGTCCGTCCCCCCCCAATCCAACCAGAGCAACAACAAACATCTGGCTTGTTATGTAAACAAAAACAACAGCTGGCAGAATCATGATCTGAAACACTCCAGAACCAGATCAGAGGAGTTCTGGTCCAGACCCCATCAGTTTTTATTATTTAGGTCTAAAAAGAGCTCGATAACAAATAATCTGAGATTACAGGGCTGGGAGTTTCTATGTGGAGTTCAGGTGACGTGGGAGTTTGTGGGATTGCTTTCAGATGGACACTTCCTGTTTTTTTAACCTACTTCCTGTAACAGCAGGCGCTCAGCTAAATGAAATGTAAAAGCAGAGCCATGTCACCATCTAATTCCTGAACCAGAAACACGGGCATCCTTACATGTTGGTTGTGTCAGGTGTTAATTGATCGATCGGTTTATGATGCGTTGATGCTGATAAGGTCAGGCGGGTGCAGTCTAATTGCTGGATTCACGTGAAGAGGAATCAGAAGCAGGTCTGGGTCTGTCTGGTTGGAAGCTGCAGGAAACAGATGATTCATTATTTATTCACACACTTCCTGTTGTTGGAAGAGTCTGGTGTTTAGCTGCTCGGTTCCCATGGCAACGGCTGATGGTTCTGTTAGTGATCAATCAAAAGGTTCTGTCCGGTTTGCTTTCGTTTAGTTCTGACAGTTTGATGTGGTTCTGCTGGACCGAAACACTGGAGCATGAAGCTGAAGTTTGTGTAGGTGGAGAAAATCAACAGTTTGACCCAAAGAATGTGTTCAGGTTCTACAACCACAAGCCCCTCCCACTGATTGAAGCTTGGGGCGATGCCCCGCCCCTGGGATTATGCCACACCCACTTATCATGTGAACAGTACGTAGCTTCAGGCTGTGCTTCTACGTTCAGAGCTGCTTTGTTGCAGTTGTCTCTCTCGTCAGTCGGCCTCAGGCCGTCCTCTGTTTTGTCCTAGTGTCTTCTGGTCCTTGGACTTCCTGTTTGCCCCAGATTGAGGTCAAAGGTCAAAGACTCACAGCTCAGTCGTTGTTTACAACAACAACCAACAGAAATTCTGTGTGAAGAACTCCGCATAGCTGAAACAGAGGAGTATTAACTTCTGGGTCTGAGATCTGTCCTGGATCCTCCTCACCTGTCCTGGATCCTCCTCGCCTGTGCTGGATCC